CTTCCCAGAACAACACTGTAGACGAGAAACACTTTTTATTCACTAGAGTGATGTTTAATATGAAGGCTACAACTCAGGACCAGCCAGATGAAGAGATGTGGGCGAGCAAGGCTGGCAAAGAGCATGGAGTCCCCACACGCTCTTCACATGCTTACCCACCTAGAACCCTCTGAACTCTGATATGGGGTTTTCATGGATTCAATGTAGGTACAATCCATGCCCTCATGGGCTGCTGGTACCCTCTCTATCTCCAGCCCCTCTCTGCTCTCTGAAGATCCGGGGTTGCCTGAAGTCTCCACACCTTCAAGCCCATGGTTGATTCTTCTGGCAGTTAGCCTTCATCCTCATTCTAACAGGGCCCCAGTCACAAGTCATCTGGCTAGCATGCACAAGAGTCAATCTCAAGAATTCAAGAGCTCTGCCATGGGAATCCCAAAGGACAGATATCAGTTTCCTTCTGTATTTCAAGGTACTTTTGATTATCTTTCATGAAAGGTCAAACACATTTCCTCCCTTCAGCAGACAGACAGACAGACAGACACACACACATATGCCACATGCATCTCACATACCAACATGTAAACATATAGCATACAATACAACACATGCTATACCACACTCACATCACTCACATGTATCACATGCAAACACATACACATCACCCACACACAACACACAAACACACATCACACACTATACTATATGCATATCACTCACTACAGATACAACACGCAAACTATACCACATCACACACTACACCACATACATCAGGCACATTACATACATATACTCACACATCACTCACTACAGATACAAAACACAAACACATATATCACACACCACACCTGCATCACAAACATATATACATATACCATGCAAGCACACTACGCACACAATCACATACTATACACACACATACCACATTAACATACACTACACAAACACCCACCTCTCTCTCATACACCTCTCTCTCTCTCTCTCTTTCTCTCTCTCTCTCTCTCTCTCTCTCTCTCTCTCCCCACACACACACCACACAGCCACACCACGTATGAGTCACATTTCTGAAGACTAGCGAGGTCTTTCTAAAACATGAACTGTGAGAGGAACTGTTCCTGGAACTCTGACTGTTGTGACTGACCTCTAGGATGACGACAGGTAGAGTGTGGTGATGGCAACAAGGTACTGCAGTCACTTGGCACTGGCAGAGTTGTTGTGGAATGAGCTCCTCTTGAAGGATGATGGCAGTGAGTCAAAGCTTGTTGTGGGTCCAAACAGGGCTGTGGCACTCAGGCCACATTCCATTCTATAAGCCCATGACCAGGTTAGTATTTAAAGCTATCTCTCCCAAGGTCTATGTATTGCAAGCCAACAGAGAGGAAGGGCTTGAGGTTATCTGCTGAGTTGTGACAGAAGTGACCACAGACCTGGGTTCCCAACACTGCCCACGGAAGGCTCCTTTCTCCCATTATGGCCATCTGTGAAGACTTCAGACCTTTTTCTGGGACCATGGTACCAGAAATCAGGGCTTTCCAGAGAAAAAACCCAGAGGAAAAAAAAACAGTAGAATGTATATATGCGCACACACACACACACACACACACACACACACACACACATCTACACCTGCTAGGAAGGATTGGCTCCTGTGTGGAGGCAATAAATCTCTGGAGCTTATTCCCCAACTCAAGTCTAAAGCTGTCTATACTGCTGTGGAACCAGGAAATCCCTGGGTCCTAAGATAGTCAGCAGGAGAGTTCCCTCTAACTAGGGGGAATCGGCCCTTTGTTTTCAGAAAGGCCTCTTGGAGCTGGAGAGATGGCTCAGTGGTTAAGAATACTGGCTACTCTCACAGAGGACCCAGGTTTGGTTCCCAGCACCCACATGGTGGCTAACAGCTGTCTGTAACTCCAGCTCCAGGGGATCAGATGTCCTCTTCTGACCTCCATGGGCATTGCACGACACAGGTACACTTACATACATTCAGGCAATACACTTGTACACATAAAATAAACATAATAAATAAAATATGTTTTTTAAAAGGAAAGGTCTTTTCAGACCTACAGGGCTGGGGCAACCCCCACCCCCACCACTAACTGGCCATCTGCTGTACCAGTCCACAGATTCAGGCATCCACCTTACCCAAACTCCCTCACAGGAAGGTTGAGAATGATGCTTGTTCAAGTGTCTGTGCACTCCAAGGCCCAGTCTAGGGGACACAGAATAACCAGCGCACCCTCCAAAGACTTCACACCTCTGACACACTTGCCCAATTCCGTCGTTTCAGGGCTGGTTGTGGAATGAGGATTTACTCCTGAGGATGGCAGCTCCCCTCCTCTTACTGAGCTTATGAACTGCCAAACTCCCATTAAGATACTTTCATAAGTCGGCACTACTCAAGGGGAGGCTTAGTCAACAGACCTGAAAGGAGAACTACTGCTCTTGGGAGATGACGTCAGAAAAGTCTGTCTGTGGGGCCTCTATGGGCTGAGAACCCTGATGCCAAGGTTAAGAGTCTAAACTTTAAAACCCAGAGACAGAACAGTAGACAGGGGTAGGGTGGGGCCTCCATCACAGAAGATGGGGATAGGACCTCCATCTCAGCAGGTGGGTGGGATCTCTATCACAGCAGATATGGGTAAGGCCACCATATCAACAGATGGTTATGGAATGAAGATTTACTCATGAGGATGGGGATAGGACCTCCATCTCAGCTGATAGATAGGGTTTCCATCACAGCAGACATGGTTAGGGCCTCCATGAGGGAGAGACCTGGATTGAAGGACAGTTGCTTCTGGCTTGGAATCTTTGGGGAAAGAGAAAGTTTCAGGGCTACCCCTTGATACTGTGCATGGATCCCTGGCCTCTCTTAGGGAAACCTGCAGTTAGCCATAAGAGCCGTGGTATTTCCCAGGCTGTGAGATCTGATTTCTGAGGCTGGTGTTGCAGGAAGCATGACGGGGACTCAGGGTCACCCTGTTCTATCGAGATCACCTCTTTCTTTCCTTCCTTCCTTCCTTCCTTCCTTCCTTCCTTCCTTTCTTTCTTGCCTTTGTTGGGTATTTTGTTAGAGCAACAAGAAAAGTAACTTATGCACCATCTTCAAAAGCAAGGTGGATGTTTCACTTATCAATAACGGGACCACCACAAAACAACAGTGGTAAGCAGGAAGTGAAAAACATATTGGATTCTGGGATAAGAAAAAGAGCTATCCAGGAGATTAACTTTTGTGATAGGAAGGTCTAGTTGCAAAAAAAGATGGGTGGCCTGAGTCAGAGGATGGCATTAAACTTATGCTATAGATGAGTTCATTCTACAACGAACACACTTAAAAGTGGCAGCATAGACAGGCTCTATGATACTGTGATCTGAGCCCCTTGGGAGGAGAGAGTACCAGGAAGGTAGGGCGTGGCCACACTGTCCATTGGCTTGGAAAATAGGTCATGCTATCTCTGCAGGATGGGTTCCAAACAAAGACAGGCTTCTGGGCACAGGTGATGGTAGTTTTTAGGAATGTTTCTATAAAATGATTAGCTGTGGCAGAGAAAGAACATACATGAGAAAGAACATGGAAGCAAGATGAGCAGGAGAAAAGGAAACACACTTCCAGTAACCGTAGCACTGCGAAGCAGCTGTGGAATCCCACCTTTGTGGGGTTAGATGCTGCACTGTTACCCTGACCACAGGAAGTGACCGGAAACACACTTCCAGTAACCGTAGCAGTGATGGTGACACTGAGAAGCAGCTGTGGAATTCCACCTTTGTGGGGTTAGATGCTGCACTGTTACCCTGACCACAGGAAGTGACCACAGAAGCACATGTCTATCTTTTTGTTTTTAACTGGACATAGTTGGACTCAAACACACCAAGATAACACCTGTTCCCATACACTGGGAGATAGGAATGGCCTCTCCCAGCTGTGTCTAAGACACTCAACAAATGTGGAAGACTGGGAAGTCCCCAGCTCAGGGGAACCACACTGCCACTGAGCAGCCTGGACCAGGCAGAGCTCATGACCCTGAGGGCTTGAGTTTCTCATCAGGCAACAATGGAAAAGGCCAAGGCCAGCCACATGCTGCCAACTTCTGCTCTACCACCAGATCACCCCCAAAGAAACTGCTCTCGGCTCCAAGTTCATCCTCTGGAGGCAAGATATCCAAGGAGAAAAGGAACCGGGACCTTTTGACCCTCTCCAGGAGCCCTGCCCTACCTGCCCAGAATTTAGTCATGCCCCTCCTCTTCCCCTCCCTAAGCTGCCCTGGGGAACTTTTGCTTTTCTTTTGTAAGGGACAACTGATAATTGGGCAGAATCCCTCCCAAGGATTCTCCCCATTGATTACTTATGGTGTATCTATTTATCCTTACATGGGGGGAGGGGCGTCGCAAATCCTGGCCCAGAGGTAGGAAGAGGCTGGGTTTCGGGTCTTTGGCCCAGGTCTGTATTGGATAACCGGATCAGAGAGAAGGGCGGGTTAAAAAAGTCCAACAAGGCGCCAAAGTCAGCCTACCTGTTCAAGCCGGTAGCGGGTCAATTTCAGACTGAACTGGTCCCTACCAGGACAAAGGCATTAATGATAGTACAGTTAACATTAGTTATCCCCAGGGGAGTAACAACAGTATTAATAAGGACGGGTCCAAAGCCTCCTTGCCAGGTAGGCAGAAGTCCGCAAAAGCCGGGATCCGGACCCAAATGGGTATCTGCGACTGCTGGGTCTTGAAGCGCCCCAGGACTGCACGTGGGGTTCACTGGATGGGTGCAAGGTCATGAGGTCAGGATCCAGGGTTTTGGAGGCGACCGGTGAAGGGATGGTGGTAGGAGGACATCCGGAGGGATGAAGAACCCCAGCGGGTGAACGCTGGTCGGATCAGTGCCCGGGCAGCTGGCTGGAGAGGCTGGGCGGGGACGTGGCTAGGGGCGGGGACCGGAATGTGGGGGACCCGGGGCTGGAGTGGGGGGGGTTTGACTCCGGGCCCCGCCCCGGCGGGCTGCTGCAAAAGTTTGCACTTGGATGCGCTGGGGCAGAGGATGAGTGAGCGATTTCGGCGACTAGAGACAAGGTCTCGGATCTGAACGGAGAGGCAGGACGAGCCCGAAGGAGACCCGAGGCCACGAGCGACGTCCGGAGCCCCAGGGACCGGAGACAGCTGAGGACCCCGCGCCGGGGCAGGATGCGGCCGGCCCCGCTGCGCTTTGCAGACCGAGGTGAGCTGTGGGACCCTTCCCCGGGGTGTGCAAACCAGGATTTCGAAATAAGCAAGCAGGTCACCGGAACCACTTTCCGAACAAAATTCCAACCGAGTCGGGGTGCGACACTGACCTGGCCACAGAGAGCCTTGAATCCGCCAGTCCCCCCCTTACCCAGGCCACGGACTCGGGTGACCGAGCTGTCCCCGGGGCGGGGAGGGGGGTATGGAGTCTTTTTAATTAATCTGGAGCTTTTAAAAGCACTTGCGTCTGTAAAGCCTGAGGAAGAGAGGGGGCTCTCCTCGGAGAAGTGCCACCCGCTGCTTTCCTAGGACAATTAAGTTAGATCCCCTCGGCGAGGAGAACCTGGGGGATGGGGGATGGGGGAGGCTGTGGGCTTTCGCCGGGGAGGGGGGCGGGATCATTCTTCTAGGTTTCATTAGCTACGAAACTCCAGCTTTCTTGGCGTTTCTCAAACGAGGCCGTTAGGGTTGTGGGGACTGGAGCTGGACCACGAAGGTGCGGAGGGGAGATGCGATTATGAGGCTCTGATGGGAAATCCGCACATTCGTTCATAACTGAGGTAGAGCCAAGAAAAAGGCGCCTTTAGCCTCGTGCCTGCCATGACCCGCTGTCTCTCTGGCCTTGGACAGTCCTGGTGGCACATTTGCTTGTGGTGATTTTATATTTAGACGGTAAGAGAGGGATTTCTTGTTGGCTCTTCAAAGAGAAGGCTTTGGTTTGAACATCACAGTGAGGTAAGGCTAGCAGTTTGAACAGAGGGCTGGCTCCCTGACCTCCAGAGTTCTGAGATGTCCGGAGTTACAGGGCTTTTTTAAATCTGCAAGTCAGAAGTCTCAGGTTTTGTATATAACCAGGTGCAAAATTTATCTTTTCATAAGTCTTCCTTCCTAGATGAAGGAAATTCCTAGAGAGCATGAAGGATTGTCTATTGCAGGTAAATGACTAGTGAACTCATCAGTGGTTATGGCTGTTTTTGTGGTGGTGGTGGTGGTGGTGTGTGTGTGTGTGTGTGTTTTGGGGAACTGTGAAAGTTATCTGAATCTGTAACTTTCTGAACTGATTCAGAGCTACATCCTGGGGTGTAATCTCACCGTTGGGTTTTGTCACCTGTACATCAGCAGCTGCTGCTGATGGTCCGTGCGAGTCAATGTCCCTTTTGCCTCTGACACTGAGATGGAACCTGGTTCTTAGCCTCCTCCAGGGTGTGGAGAGAGTGATGTCATAGCCACTTAGCATCTTTTGAATGCCATTTTCCCCTTTACATTTATGATTTTTTTTACATGTTCCACTCTCCTGATTTTCTACCATATTTGGGTGGTAGAAACTCCCATTTCCTGTAAAAGCTTTATGTATTGGCCTGATGACCTGTTTTCTCATGATTCAGGGACTGGGTCTCTTTCTGGAATGACACTCATCTCCATAGATCTTCCGTCTTCTTTAGTGCCTACAGTTATGTATATAATTTATTACAATAATAATAAATACTTGAGCATGCCACAATGTTTTAAATTTGGGGGTTCCTTTGTGGTAGTTGAACCCCTTTTGCTACCACATGCTGAGGGACACTCTTAGGCAAGTCATTTATGGTAGCTGTGGTGTGGTACTGAGGGTTACTAGATCTTATTTTCACATCTACCTCGGCGATTCCTTTGCCGTGCGTTTTCTTTTGAATTAATTGCCATAAGCATTTGGAGATAGTATCTTTAATTTTTGAGAAAGTGAGATATATTTAATGGAATCCCATCTAGTTTCAACTAGTAACACATTTTTATAATTTATTTATTTTTTAAGACAGTCTTACACTGTAGTCCAAGCTGAACTGGAATTCGTTATGTAGCCCAGGCTAGCCTTAAACTCATGGTAAGCCTCTTACATCAGCCTTTCAAGTGCTGGGATTGCTTGTATGAGCCACCAAACCCTTCTGATAGTATATTTTCAGTTACTGGTTTCGTTACAGTTTGGGGCATAGTCTACCTTTCCTTTTCTCTCTTTTCTTCTTCTTCTTTTTTTTTTTTTTTTTTTTTTTTTTTCGACAGGATCTCCCTGTAGCCCCAACTGTCCTGGAACTCACTATGTAGACCATGCTGGCCTTGAACTCACAAAGATCCACCTGCCTCTGCCTCCCAAATGCTGGGATTAAAGGCGTGCGCTACCATGCCTGGCCCTATTTTCTGAAGGAACTGAAACTGTGTTTGGGAGACCAGGCAGTCAGTGATCATTTGGGTCAAATCAGTGGAAGATGGTGTGTATTTGGTAGATGGTGTGATACCCATGGGTGGATTTCCCTATCAGAAAGCTGTGCTGGGTTGGCCTGGCCCAGCGAGCTGGAGGAAGGGTCCTCAGGCAACTGACTCTGCTCCTTGGCTTTGAAGGTTTTGTTCCATTCTGTTCCTGGCTTCAGAGTTTTCTAAATATCCCACCAAAACCCCAGACTGGCATTCCAGTAGCCTCAAGCAATTAGGCTATAAAGCAACACTGGAGAGGCTCTTAGTACTGCCTAGTTAAGGACCTGTGACAAAGTGCCTCATAAAGAGACTGTCCCTGAAGGGGGTGGGCTAGAACAGATGACTGGGACATACAGCCCAGCCAGGCTCTGCCACTAAGGACATACGGCCCCTCCAAGTGTCAATTTCCCCCATGTCCTCTTAGAAGTCACAGGCTATATGGAGACTAGATGTGACATGGAATGACCAGGGTGGACTTCCTCGGCAGGATGCCATATGTATATCTTTAACTTTGTAACAGAAGCTATTTCCACACATCTACACTCATTTTCTGGAAATATTGGTGGTAAGAGCATCCTGGGCCCTTACTGGGAGCAAACATTGTAGGGAGAATCTGGCAAGACTGACTGGCAAACAAAGGAAAAACACAAACTAAAGACAAACCTTGCATCATACTCTGTTGCCTTCCCATAGCAAATCTGCCAGCTCAGGACATTCCCAGGGGCACCCTATGTTCTTGGGACATGACCTTCATATCTGGGGTCCCTTGGACTGTGCTTGTAATCCATGTATCATCAGAACCTTGTTTGTTCACAAGAACATACCAAGTAGAGCTGGGAAGCCCCATCAGGCAGAGGGATCTGTATCCAGGCTGGGAAGAAAGGCAGGAAAGAAGGCAAGCTTTCTCCTGAATCGTCTGTAACCTTTCCCTTTCAGGAAGGTGGAAGGCTTCACTAATGGGCCTGGATCAAAGCATTCATTGTGGAACGCTGTGAGCAAAGCCTGCATTCTGCTCCTAACTGTCTCTGGAGGCAGAGAGAGGTTAAGGGAGAAAACCAGAGAGAGGGGAAAGGCTCATTAGCAAAGGAATTGTGTAGGAGTTGGAGCCATGAAATGGCCTGCTCACTATTTTGTTTCTTGGTTCTTTTATGTGAAAAAGAAAAATGTCTTGCTTTCAAAGAAATTGTGCTTACTGGCAAATAGTGGATACTTTAATTCAGTTTAGAGTATAGAGTTATTGCTTTCTCTGGAAGCACATGCCTTTTCAAAAGAGTGTCCTCCCTCTGACCAAGGGCGAGTTCTTTTTCTTTAAGAGACAAAAAGGGAAGGAGGAGAGAGGGAAGGAAAAAGAGAAGGGAGAGAGAGAGAGAGAGAGAGAGAGAGAGAGAGAGAGAGAGGTGAGTTCTTACTTTTTCTTCAAGAGACAAAAAGGGAAGGAAAGAGAGAAGGGAGAGAGAGAGAGAGAGAGAGAGAGAGAGAGAGAGAGAGGCTAGACTTTGCAGAGATATTTTGCCCTCCTTTTCCTTTTATAGTTTGTTTACTTTTCAAACTGACATATGGAGAAAGTGAGTCGCTAGTATAGAAGACACATCTGGAATCCATCCACTCCTCTCCCAGGCTTGCTTTCCCAGGAGATGCTACTTTCAGAGTTAGGGGGTGGGCAGGCATGCCTAACATCAGCAGGGTCTCATGTGGGGTCATCTACCTTGGAGCCATCTGGTCCAGGCTTCTCAGTCTGTCATGGCAAAAAGAAAACATGTTTGGTGTCAGAGTGCCTTAAGGGAGGATGAGTGATTCCAGTTTCAGGAGTCCCAAGTGAGAATACTCAGACCCAGGTGACCGTCCCAAGGGCAGCTCAGATGTGAGTAGGGGTGCTTATTAAACACGGAGTGACTCAGAACACAGGCAGAATACAGACAGTGAAATGGTAATGTCTGACTGAGCAGAGGACCAGGGGAGGGGCATGAGGAGTCTGCCAGGGTATCAGGGGGCTTGCTAGTGCAGGCCTTCGGAGTGAGCTGATAAGATTCTGGGCAAGGATCTGCTGAGGAAACTGCTGGTTAGGAGACCAGTGCTGCTGAGAGCCTCTGTACCCTGAGCTTGGCCAGACTCCCTTCTGCTGGAATATGCCTCAGGTTTTAGAAGACACACAAAACTGGTCTGTTCACAATCACATTTCTAAATGCTGTGTATTGTGTGTATGTGTGTGTGTTCATGTATGGGAGTGCAGGTGTGCACATGCCATAGTACCTGTATGGAGGTCAGAAGACAACCTGGAGTGTCGGTCCTCACTTTCTCTCTTGTTTGAGGCAGGGCCTCCTTATTGCTCATTGTGGAGTACAGGCTAGCTGTGATTCTCCCAACTCTGCCTCCCATTTTGCACAGGAATGTTGGGAGTAGAGATGTGCTTATCGTGTCTGGCTTTACATGGGTTCTTGGGATTTATAACAGGTTCTCATGCTTGACTAGGAAGGGCTTTACCCACTGAGCCAACTCCCAGCCCAAGAGCCTGCTTTTTAAGTGGAAATGAATCAGCAGACTTACAGCATCACGGCCAGCTCCACACTTCATCACTTCCAAAAAGTGCAAGTTTTCTACTGCATCCCTCTTGCCTTCAGTGGGTCACTATGAACCCCACAAACACTTCCGGGTCATGGTTACAGCCCACCCTTTTCACTAGCATGCCCCTTAGAAACAAGGGTGGTCTTCTTATGCAGGCACCTGTTCGCCCAAACAACATGCCAGCCAATCTGGCAGCCTGCTCAGTGA